GGTTTAAAGCCACTTCAGTGCTGGGCTCATGCTGCAGCCACCCTGGCCTTCATCCCAGTCACCCCGCCCCTCCAAACACCTGCCCCAGCACTCCGAACCACAGCAGAGCCCTCAGAGCAGCTGTGCCCCAAGGCATGGAAACGGGGTGTGCTCACACATCCCCCGCCCCGTCCAGGCAGCCAGTGGGGGTGCAGGGAGTGGAGCAGAGACGTGGTGTGCTGGACCCGGCAGGCCCAGGTTTGCTCTGGCCTCGGGGGATGCTGAGCCCTGGCGTCTTCGGCCACGGGAGGACGGGAAGGGAGTGTGGGGTGATATACGTACACATGTGGCCTCCGCCCTTGCTTCATGACACACAGTCCTACACCGCTCGGCACCGCCTGGGCCAGGAGTGACTTGTGTGTGGTAATGTGGGGCTTGGCACCCTCCACAGCTTCAGGGTGGGCTGGTCACCAGGAAGACTATGTCATGATTGGAGGGGTGAGACCCGTCGCCCCACCCAACCTTTGGTGAGGGTAGATGGGCTAAAGGTTGAGCGGTCCCCAGTGGCCATGACGAACTGATCGTGCCTTTACTATGAAGCCACCCTACACATCCCAAAGGACAGGGTTTGAAGAGCTTCCAGACTCTGGGCACACGAGGGCTCCCGCGGGGCAGTGCACCAGCGAGAACCGGGCGCCGCACTCCCCCACACGCCTGCCTGTGTGTCTCCCCATCCGTCTTTCGAGATCCCCTTTGTAACAGACTGCTCTATGAACGCGGCTCTCTGAGCTCTGTGACCCTCTGCAGCTCATCAGCCAGACCCGAGGAGGGACCCCAGGCGCCCCACCCACCCGCTGGCGGGTCAGAAGTCCAGTGACAGCTGCCCCTTGTGACTGGTGTCTGAGGGGCTCGCCTGTAAGCTGACGCTGTCGCAGGTAGAGAGCGACGGAATTAAGCCGAGAACACCCAGCCGGTGTTGCCGCAGAGCCGCTGGCTTTCTGTTTCCTTCACATGAACCGAACAGCTAGTGGCCGCAACAGATTTCCACCTGCCCCCAAAGCGCGGTGGCTGTGAGGCAGGGGGACAGTACGGCGGTGACGATGAAGGCGTCGTACCTTCAGCACCTGCCAGACCTTGGGCCAGGTCCTTTAGGCCGATACTCCACCCGTTCTTCACTGTGGGCTCTGGGAGAACCTCTGCCATTCCAGAGACGAGGCGGGGGGCTCGGACAGGGGGAGGAGCCTTTACCACCACACCACCTGCTGGCCCAGCTGAAAGGCACATGGACTCACCAGAGAGACAGAGAGAGGAAGGGAGGGAAGGGAGAAGGCCGCCCAGCAGGGTGGTTGCCTCTCCATGCCTCCCCTTCCTGGGGGAGGTGGCTCTGGGGGCACGCAGTCCCATCCCAAGCCCTCCTGCAAGAGCAGAGACAGTGCTAGGACTTCCCGCAGCTGCAAAGGTTCTAGGAGCTGGGGCTGCCCATGCTTGAGCCAAGGGCCAGAGCGATGTCAAAAATGCTGAACGCGGAGGGGTTTTTAGTCCCAAAATGCATGCGCTATGAGTTGTGTGATTAAACAAACAAATAAACAAAGCACAGAAAAAAGGGGGGGAACTTCAAAAAGTTTGGCAGATTGGCCCTGTGGCCTGGTGGTTAAGGGAGCCGGATGGCACATGGCTGTCAGTGCGGTTTGAATCCTGGCCTCGGTGACTTGGAAAATTGCTGGGCATGTGTGCATGCTCAGAAACCCAACAGGAGGGAAGCATGAGAGGCAACCACCCTGCTGGGCAGCCTTCTCCCTTCCCTCCCTTCCTCTCTCTCTGTCTCTCTGGTGAGTCCATGTGCCCTTTGGCAAAAAAAAAAAAAAAAAAAAAAAAGGAAAAGAAAAGCTGGGGCCAGCAGGTGGTGTGGTGGTTAAGGGCGTTGGACTCCCACATGGCCAACCATGCTTCGAGTCTCAGATCTGGTGGCTTGCTTTCTCACTTTCTCTCTCTCACTCTGTCCTTCTCTGGTCAAATTAAAATAAATAAATAAAGTTAAACAATTCTTTTTAAAAAAGGAAATCTTGTGGAAAAGTGAAATTACATGATGAGTTTATTTTGGCATAAAAACATTAGAAATCTACGTACAATTTTTTTTTTTATAATATGTGTTTTCTGTGAACCTTTGGAAAATCCATCCCCATACACTCAGGGCTCAGAATGGATAAGCAAGAATTGATATAGATTTTGTTCCTCGTCTTGGTTGTCAGAATGTCCCAGGAACCAGTGTTTTTTGTTTTATCCCAATCGTGGGGCCAAGATCCAGGATGGAAGGTGGTGAAAGTGTGGGAGCAGTCACAATTAGGGGGCCTTCTGAGCTTTACCTGTCTCTCCTTTCTAAGGTGAGGCCCTCCCAGGGGCCTGGCCCTCCTCCTGGGGCCAGCTATTAGCACGTAGCAAGGAGCTGGTAGTTCCTGTCTCCCCTCCAGGCACCACTGTCAGGTACGAGCTGCCCAGAGTTATCTGGAGCCCAGGGGTCTGGTAAACCCTGGCGCTAAGGACAAGATTAAAAAACAAGAAATGATAAAACCAGACCAGCTGACGGTGTGTGGTGGCTAGGGCAGCTGGCTCCTACACGGCCAGCCACACAGTTCAAGGTCCGGGCCCAGCGGCTTGACTAATACACTGGGTGCATGTGCATGTGTGCCCGCAATCCCGAGATGAACATGGAGCAGGGATCGCACTGTGGCCATCCCCCCAGGAGGTGGTCTCTCACTTTCCGTCTCTTTCCTTCTCTCCCTTCCTCTCTCCAGTGAGTGCACATGCCCTGTAGTAAATTTAGAAAAAAAAAAAAAAAAAAGAGGGGGCCAGCAGGGAGTGATTACATCACTGTACTCCCACATAGCTGACCACGGTTCAAGTCCCAGACTCGGTGGCTTGAAAATCACACTGGGTTGCTGTGCGTGTGTGCCTAAGGTCCCAGGGGGGAATGGAGGAGAAGGGACGGTGACGTGGCCATCTCCCTGGGGTGTGATTTCTCACTTTCCCTCTGACTCTCTGTCTATGGTGAATGCACACACTTTACCACAAAAACCTCTAAAAAAAAAAAAGATAAAACCGTGAAGTTCTCCTGCAAGCCTCAGGGGAGACGGCCAGATACTGGGTGTCTCCTCACTCGCTTAGGAAACCGAGGTTTGTTGAGGGCTGGGTGAGGCCAGGGAGAACAAGGAAGGTGCAAGCTGCAGGTCAGAGGTGAAGCCCGATGGCTGGAGTCACTTAGCAGGACTGTGATAGGACACAGGGCCTCCTGGCCGTCACCGTGCTGCTGCACCCTCCTTCCCTTTCCAGCTGGGCCGCCATCTAGAAGGCAGATTTCCGGATTTCCACATGCACGTGGCCTGAACCTGGTGTCCCCTGACACGTGCATGTTGAAGCTGCACACCCAGCGTACAGGTATGGAGGGGGTGGCCTCGAGAGTGACGAAGGCACAAGGACTCGCCCTCGGCATGGGACCAGTGCCTTGTGAAGGCAGCTGGAGGGAGCCCCCACCCCACTGGCGAACTGAACTGAGGTCTTGGGACAAGCTCCTGCACCTGATGAGGACACAGCAAGGAGCGGCGTCTACTGGCTGAGAGCAGCCTCCAACGCCAGCTCTGAGGGGCCTCCGTCCCGGACTGCCCATGCCCAGAGCTATGCGAATGGGTTTGTTGTGGTTGTTGTTGTTTTTAGGTTTTTGTCGTAGGATATGCGTGCTTGCTGGAGACAGACAGAGAGAGGGAGAGGGAGAGATCTCCCCACCGGGGCATGGTCACACCACAATCCCTTCTCCTTCTGGGATTTTAGGCACTCATGCACATGCGCCCGGCCTGATTGTCAAGCTGTCTGGGACTAGAAACGCAGTCAGCCATGTGGGAATCCAGTGCCTTAACCACCCTGCCATCTGCCGGCACCAGAGAAATAAAATTCTACTGTTTACAAATTACTCATCTAAGGCATTTCGTTAGAGTCAGCTGGTAAGACTGAAACGGGGGTGTGGGGTGTTGGATCCTGGGCTTACTCTCTATGGTCTTGGTGCAAATTTTGGCAAGAAAATAGTCATAGACACCAAAAGAGCAGTAATACTTTATTTAAAATATATACAAAATTATTACTTTGAAACATAGATATTACTGTCCAACACACATCATGTGACGGTGACTAATTAAATTTTGGTACTTTCATCCACTCATTTTGTGATTTTTGCTCCAAGCAATTGAAAACAATTCTCTTAACTGCCACCAGAGGGGCAGTACCAGGCTTGTTCCCCTTGGTGTCTGGCGGTGCTCACCCTGCAGCCCTGCCCCGGGGGGGAGGGGCAATCCTAGCTTGCTGGGGAGCCCGGGCCCAGGGCGGAGGGGACACACCTCCATCACACCAATCGCTGCCTTCTCTCTCCACCGGGAGTGAAGGCGGCAGTGACGGAGAGACAAGGGCTGTCATTTCCTTGACAAGCTCCCCCTGGGCTCAGATGGATGTACAGGGCATTGTTATCCTCACCCCGTTTCTTCCCTGCCATCGTCCTAGCACGGGGACGGAGTGTGACAATGGGAGCTGGCCTCTTTTTCTTTCTGGTGTTTGCTATACGGCATGTGCCCTTGCTGGAGAGAGACAGAGAGTGGGAAACTGAGAAATCGCCCTCCCCAGGGGATGGCCACACCACAATCCCCTCTCCTCCACTCTCCCCCCCAGGATCCTGGGCACACACACGTGCACCGGGCGTGAGTCTCAAGCCTCCAGGTCTGGGACTCGAACTGTGGTTGGCCATGTGGGAGTCCAGGACCTTAACCACCATGCCACCTAGTAGCTTCACCTGGTCTCATAACACAACTTGAGAAGAAATCAGCAGTGAAGCACGAATGAGCTTCTGCGCTCTTAGGCTGAACGGAGTTACTGCTGTCCTGAGAAAAGCCCACGGCTGCTCTCGGCCTGGACGCCCCACCACTCTCCCCCACTCTCCCCCACAGTGTCTCCCGTGGGACAGGCACTTAATAACCGCTCGCCGCAGAGATGAGGACACGGAAGGAGGGGCTCTGGGGACGACAGTGGGAACACACTTCAGAAGCAGCGTTTGAGGGGAAAGTGACCAGCCTCCTTGCTGGTAGCTGGGGAAGGTGAGGCTCAGGAAAAGGAGGTGAAATGAACCCAGGCCACATGACTGGTTCCTGATAGTCAGACCTGGAACCAGATTTTCTGCTTTCTCCTTAAATTTCCCTCTCTCTGGAGACCAGAAACTGTAAAGAGAGCTCAGCAGACTCAGTGCCCTGCCCTGGACTCGGGGAAATCATCTCCCGGCGCTGGAAGCCCCCGGTGCCCCAGGTGACCATGGGCATAGTGGCCAAGTGTAGGGTGTGAGCAGAAATGTCTCCCCGGGGAAGCCCGTGTGGGGAGGCAGGTCAGCTGGCAGCAGCGGTTCTGAGTGAGGTAGGAGGAGCACAGAGATCGGGGGACCCCTCGGGCAGGGTGGGGCAGGGCAGCTGTTGTCTCCCCTCTCCTGCCTCCGCTCCCAGCAGTCCTCGTTCCAAAGTGGAACTGGTGACTCGCAAAGGCGCTGGAGCCCGAGTGTCCCGAGGAAACGTGTGAACAAGGCGTAGAGACTTCCCGGCAGTCACTGCAGAGACGCGGGTCAGGAATGAGCACTCTCAGCACCCCAAAACCGAGGGCGAGGAAGCAAAGGGAAGCAGGATGAAAGGGGAAGAGGGAAGAAGGGACCGAGAACTGACCAGCGGGCAGGCGAGCAGGTCTGGTGCCGGGAGCACGCACACGGCCTGGGGGCGTCTCATTGCAGCTGGGCTGTCCAGAACACCCCCGGGCTTCGAGCCACGAAGGCCTCCCCCATGTCATACCAGGGACACGAAAGCCCGGGGCCCTCCCTGCTTCCCCGTGTGATTTTGGTTTCTTTCTAGAAAGGATAACTCGGCATGGTCAGAAATGTGTGTATGACCCACATAAAGACCTCACGTATTCCCCTGACCCCACAGACGCACTGACTCTGAAGGGCGCAGTGTCAGCGCGAATGGGAGCCCACAGGGAAGGACACGGTTCTCGTGGCGGTCGGGCCGTGGCATCTCTGGGAGCAGGCCCACAGAGCTCAGATGCGGCTCTCTTCGACAGCCCCCTCCTGCCCCACACCCACCCAGACTCACTCCCTGCCTCCTCCTCGCCCCTCGCTTTCTGCCCGACTTCTGCACCCCTCACCCCGCCCCACACATGGCTCTGCGAAGAGAAATGAAAATAATTCATCTGGCCAATTCGGAGTGTGGGAGCTGCAGCTCCTCTGGTAACAAACGAGTCCCTTTGTGCTTACATAGCGGCCACCGTGTGTGCCCGATGGCGACTATGCCGGGGCAGGGCGGGGCAGACCCCCACACCGGCCGCCCTAATGCACAGCAGACTGGTTCTCACTGCACACGTAGACCGTGCTCGGCTGGATCCTCCTTCGGATCCGCTCAGGCACTTTGGGGAGGATCTGGAAGGTCTGGGGCAGCAGGTCCATGCAGGCCTCGCGGAATTTCTTGATCCTCCAGCAGTACACGACAGGGTTGAAGGCCGACTTGAGGTAACTGAGCCACAGGACGCAGGTGCTGGCACTGTAGAAGGAGGGGCTGTCGTGGAAGCGCCGGCTGAACACCGACAGGAGGCTGTAGACCGAGTGGGGCAGCCAGCAGAGCGAGAAGCCCACGAAGAGGATGAGGATGGTGGTGAAGGCCTTGGTCTTGAAGCTCAGATCCATGTTGACCTGCTGCTGCCGCTGCAGCCGCCGCAGGCCGGCCCTGGTGAGCTGCCTCAGGTCCAGGCTGTCGGACTGGTTGTGCACGCGGACGGCGTTCTTCCGCACCGTGTTGAGGATGCACACGTAGGAGCACAGCATGACGGCGAAGGGTGCGAAGAACACGGCCACCACCAGGGTCACCACGTAGGCCCGGGCGGCTGTGAGCTCCGTGTAGCCCAGCACGCACTGCGGGGCCCGCGCCGGCACCTCCACCAGCGTCCAGCCTGCCAGCGAGGGCACGGAGATGCAGAAAGACAGCACCCAGGACGCGGCGATGATCACCTTGGCCCGCCGCGGGGTCAGCCTGTCCTGGCGCTGGACGATGATGAGGAAGCGGTCCACGCTGATGGTCAGCAGGATGGCCACGCCCTCCAGCACGAAGAACCAGTACAGCATGGCCGTCAGCCGGCAGAAGTTGTCCCCAAAGTGCCAGTGGACAGTGATGAGGGTGACGGCGGCGAAGGGCATACAGCACACAGACAGCATGATGTCGGAGAAGGCCAGCGTGGCCAGCAGCAGGTTGATGGCGGAGCGCATGGCCGGCCTCTGGTACACGATGACACAGACCACGGTGTTGCCCAGGAAGCCCACCGCGATCAGCAGCAGCATCCCTATAGCCAGCGAGATCCTGAGTGGGGCGGGCAGCGGGGCGGCCCCCGGGCCGGACGCGTTGCTGGCGTTCAGCTGCAGGTACTGGTAGGCCTCGATGGTCGTGCTGTTACAGGCCATCCTGGCGAGCGGCTGGGGTCCCGGCAGAGATCGCCTCCCCTCAGCGCTTCGGGGCCTGCCATGCTCTGTCTCCAGGCTGCATCTTCTGCACCCGCCGGGACCCGCCAGTCGTCAGTCATGTCCTGATCATCTCGGCGTCACAGCTTCCTCCCAGATGCGGGAGCAGCCTGCAGCAAGCGAGAGGCCAGGAGAGAAGCGAGTGAGGCTGGTAGATGGCGTGGGAGTTAAGGTGCTAGACTCCCACATGGTAAACTGCGGTTTGAGTCCTGGACCTGGCAACTTGCTTTCTCACTTTTCCTTTCTCTGTCTCTCTCTAGTCAAATTAAGAAATATTAATAAATAAAATGAAATAAAAATCAAATAATTAAAAATAAAGAAGCGAGTGAGGTTTTCAAGCCAGCATGTCCATCTCACAGGTGTTCTGCACGCTGGAGAGGGGAAGGACTGACTCCTTTGAGCAAAGCTTGGTGTGACCTGGAACGAGTGGTGTCTGGGTCTCGCCAAGCAGCCCAGGAAACCCAGTCAGCTCTACTTTGGGGAGACAGAGGAAGTAACTATGCCGGGGCACGTGAGGAGGTCTCCAGACGCGAGCCCGGAACCTTTGCACAGGGCCAGCCTCATGGAGCTGCACTTACAGCTGCGTCTCCCGGCGTTACTTTCTGTGCACACGGTAAAAACACTTACTGTAAGAGCTAGCCTATAGGCAACTTTTAAGTATTTATTTTCATTTCAGTTTGAACTTTTGTGTAAATTGGGAGTATATGCTTAACTTTATTGTGAGATAAGTGTCCATTTGCATGGATTTGTGAGAAAGAGCATGGTGAGACCCCACAGAACCTTCGTCCAGTTTTCCTGATGGTAACAGACATCCCGGATAACTGCAGGGTGCCGGTTTTTTTGTTGTTAAGGTTTTTGCCATAGGGCGTGTGCACTCACTGGAGAGAAACAGAGCGAGACAGAGGGAGAAATCACTCCCCATGGGGATGGTCATCTGCAATTCGTGTTCCTCCATTCGCCTCCTGAAATTTGGGCACGCACGCATGCACGCACACATGCCTGGGGTGAGTTTCAAGCTGTCAGGTCAGGAACTTGAACCAAAATCGGCCATGTGGGAGTCCAGCGCCTTAACCACCATGCCAGCCGGCCCAGCTGTTGTATGTGTGGAAACACTGAGGAGAGAGAGAGAGCTCTCCCCAAAGATAAACCCTCTGGCGAGGCGATGCTCATGTGCACGTGTTGCTCTCAGAGGCAGGAATAGTGCAGGGGCTCAGGGCGGCCAGCCTCCACCCTCCATCTGTCCGTCACTGGACGGCTGCCAGCAGGCTGGGTAACCTCTGGGATTTGACTTCTTTGTCTGTATCAGACGGCTTCTAGCCAGGCCTGTGTGCAGAGCAGCTGTAAATACCCAGAAATGCGATGCCACAGGGGGCCGGCAGGTGGTGTGGTGGTTAGTGCACTGGACTCCCACATGGCTGACCATGGTTTGAGTCCCCGACCCAGTGGCTTGAAAATCATGTTAGGCATGTGTATCCACATGCCCAGATTCCCGAGAGGAGAAGGAAAGAGAAGGGACTGTGGGGTGGCCATCTCCCCTAGGACGTGATTAGTCACTTTCTCTGTTCTCTCTGGCAAGTGCACACGCCCTATGGCCAAAAAAAACCCCCAAAAATTAAACAAAAAGTGATGCCTCAGGTCCTCAGTAAATGGCACCGCTGTCATCTTCACCCTGAGACAAGGCAGTTACAGTGCTGCAGTGGCTATTGCTTACTGTTTATGTCACACACACACACACCACACACACACACACACACACACACACACACACACACACACACGTTTGCATCCGTACTAGACCTGCCCACAAGTGGTATGCTCTCCTGGAGAGAGGCTGTTCCTAGTCCATTTGCAGCCCCTCCTCCCCGTTGTTTCCCACATAGCTGATTGGCCAGACGGCTGACCTGTCTTGTGGCCTGACCAATGACAGCAGCACTGGAGCGCTCTCATAGTCACTCAGCTGGAAAGGTGAACTTGGAGCTGCTGAATGGGAGGGGGTGACAAAGCGGTGTGTGGAAAAAAGCCGAGGACATGAGGGCGTGCTGGAAGTTCTCCACTTGCCCCCCAAATCTCCTGGCCCCCATCGTCCTTGCCCAGGAGGGTGGCACCTTGCCCTCTGGCAGGAGAGGAGAGAGGCGAGGCTCTTCTTGCCCTGGCTCCTTCCTCCCTGTGCCCGGCCTCTCTCCAGCTTCCCTGACTGCTCCTGCCTCCCTGCAGGTCTGGGTTGCTGGGCTTCCTTCCAGGCCACCTGCTCAGTCCACCTCGGTCTCCCTTCATGCAGCCTTGGCTATATCAAGCATCCTTTCATGACCTCTCTCTATGGCTCGGGATCCGGTCTCCAGCACACCTGCACCATAGCCAATATGGCGGTTAGGGTGCACCGAAGATACAGGGAAGAAATAGAGTGAGCAGGTCCTAGGAGGAGAGAACTGTGTGTGTGCGTGCGTGTGCGTACGTGTGCGTGCGTATGCGTGCGTGTGCGTGCATGTGTACATGTGCAAGCATCAACACAGAAATCGACTTCCCTTCCAGACAGCATTCTGATTTCAGTTTCACGTATGTATTTACAATGTTTCCTCCTTTCTTTGTCTTTAAAGAAACTTGTAGTTTTCATTCTTTTTTTTTTTTTTTTTTTTCTTTTCAGGAGAGGTTTTTGTTATAGGGTATATACACTCACTGGAGACACAGAGACAGACAGAAAGTGAGACATCACCCCGCGGGGGGGTTAGCCACACCACAATCCCTTCTCCAGTTTCCTCTGAGGATTCTGGGTATGCACACACATGGCTGTTGTGAATTTCAAGCCACCAGGTCAAGGACTTGAACCACGGTTTGTTGGCCATGTGGGAGTCCAGTACCACAACCACTATGCCACCTGCTGGCCCGCTGTTCATTTTTATCTAATCTCTTACCCTCACCTCTGCCATCACCTCTCAGAGACAGCCTGTCAGGTTCTGCTTTTGCTGGTAGTCATGCCCGTCATGCTGGAAGATTTGCTTCCACCTTACTGGGTCGTTGGGAGAGTCATGAGCTATTTTCCTATGCAAAAATGCATAGGAATTTTTCCAATGACCCATTGAGATCTACTTGCCTTAGACGACTGGGTTTACCAATAGAAAGACGCGGGTTTACCTTGCTCCGTTCTACCTCACTACTCTCTCCTGATGACATCATCGCCGTCATTTCCTCTGAGAGAGAGGGACAGGGTGTTTCTGATGGGGTGTCTCTGTCACAACCCCCCTTGTCCAGCATCTCCATTTGCTACATTCTAGACACGTGATCGCACTCCAGGGACTCAGGTTGGTCCGCAAACCCAGCACAGCTTCCAGTCCCCGGTGTGGTGGTGCTCTCTGTGAACCATGACCAGACCAATGACATTATTCTTAAATAATTTAACTGGGGACCAACAGACGGAGTAATGATTACATCACTGGACTCTCGAGTAGTTGACTGTGGTTCAAATCCTGAACCTGACGGCTTAAAGCTCACTCCGGGTGCATGTGCATGTGTGCCCAAGGTCTGAAGAGGAGAATGGAGGAGAAGGGAGTGCGGCGTGTCCATCCCCCCCCGGGGTGTGATTTCTTGCTTTCTGTCTCTCTGTCTCTACAGTGAGCGCATGTGCCCTATAGCAAAACTCTCTCAATTTTTTTTTTAAATTGAATTCCATTGTAACTATAAAATATGCTTGAATATCTGCATGGTATTCTACCGAATGTGGGCAGTACCTCTTCTTCCTGTCCGGGATATGCACTTGGTGTCTCTTGTAGTTAATGTGTATGTGTACGTGTGGGACAGAGAAAGGGGCCCTTGCCAGAGCCTTGTCACGCGTGGTCCCCTTTTCCCAGCCTTCCAGCTCATCAAGATCTCAGGCACATACACACGTGGAGTTTTCACCAACCGGGGACCTGAGCTCGCAGTTGACCACGTGGCTTCTAGCACGACAGTTCAGTTTGCTAGGAACTACACACTAGGGCCGGGCTAGTACCTCCTCTCCATTCACGGCTCTCTCCCATTTGCAGCCGTTCTGTCTGCACTTTCACTCGCACCTGGTGAAGGTCATTCATGTTCCCATGCTATGCGTCGTCCACAACCAGATCTGAGCTTTTTGTTATATGCCTTCAAGAATTGAACTCCTATGACAGGTGTTTCTATTTTCATGACTACGGGCTGTTGTTCAGGGTTGCGTGGGATCGTCCGCTGGAACCCTGGCTTCCCACTAGCTTAACATTATAACCCTAAAGTGTCTTGGGTGCAAGTGTCAAAGGTCTAATGGCTTGTCAAAGCTTTTGTGCCATGGGACCAGCAGTTAGCATAATGGCTATGTCGCTGGACTCCCACGTGGTCGACTGCGGTTCGCGTCCCGGACTGGGTGGCTTAAAACTCACGCCGGGCACGTGTGCGTGTGTGCGTGCCCAAGATCCTGAGAGGAGAATGGAGGAGAAGGGATTGCGGTGTGGCCATCCCCCCTGGGGGTGATTTCTCACTTTCTGTCTCTCTGTCTCTCTCTGTCTGGCAAGTGCACGTGCCCTATAGCAAAAACCTCTCCAATAAAAAAAAAAAGCTTCGGTGCCAAAGCCACGCCATATTACAACGGATTTCACACTCAGTCCCTGACTCTCTCGTACAGCTTTGTGTTTGCCGAGAGGTTTTTTGTTGTTTATCTTGCATTTCTGTTGTTGTTGTTGGAGAGAGTATTCACCTGCCAGGGAGAGACAGAGAGGGAGAAAGCAGTACCCCACCCCTTTGGAAACAGTCCTGCTGCAGTCCCTTCTCCATTTCTCTCTCCTACAGGAATGTTGGATATAAACACACATGTGCTTAGCATGTTTTTCAAGTTACCAGGGCCAGGATTCGGCCATGTGGGATCTGGCTCCCTTAACCACTTGACTCCAGAGACTGCCCTTCCCTGTTTGTCGTTGCCTTCCTCCCTTGTCCTAGCTTGCTGT